CTCTCTCTCTCTCTCGTTTGTGGTGTTAAGGTTGAATTTGGGACCTCATGGCTTGCTAAGTATGTGCTGTCCCACCGAGCTCTACTCAGCACCACACCAGCCTACTCTCTTTTGGGAGAAAAGGCAATAAAGTAAAGTTCACTCTTGGTAACTGGTTTTAAGGAGGAGCAATGATTCTGCAATCACTGAAACCTGGTGTTTCAGTGGGGACTGCATACACTACACTGAAGATATGATTGATTGGCTTGATTGATTGGTTGATTGATTGATTGATCATGAGCTATAACATTCCCTAAAATTTGTTTTTGACAAATATTTTTATGAATATATTTCATATTAAAGGCTAAGAGACCTTCCTTATCCCCCTCCCCGCCATAAAAGATGTGAAGTCTCTATTAGTTTTTCCAGAGCATGGTTGTCCCTAGCACCAGATTGAGACCTGGAGGTTGACATTCATACCAATTCCTTGGTAGGTTAAATGTATTTCTTATGTATCCACACATGAGTATGTGGTCAAGTAGATATAGGAAGCTGAGTTAAGCAAATTTCTTTACTAATGAACTTCTTTTTAATAGGCTATATATATTGTATTCTCCCAGAGGGAGTTCTTTTGAATTTATTTGGTTATAAAACTGTATTTAACTTTTCTTGTGCTATGATAAAACACACTGCCAAAAGCAACTTGTGGAAGAGTTTATTTTAGCTTATAGTTCCAGTTTGGCAGGGGAGGCATGGCAGCAGGTGTCGTGGTAACTAGATCAGGAAGCTGAGAGTTGGAGTCACATCTCCAGCTGCAAACACAAAGCAAAGAGAGTGAACTGGAAGTGAGGTGAGGCTATGAACTCTCAAAGTCTGGTCCCAGTGACATGCTTCTTCCAGCACAGCTGTGCTTCCCAAACCTCCCGAGACAGCACCAAGTGGAGACCAAATATTCACATACTTGAGCCTGTGGTGGGTATGTCTCAGTCAACCACCATAAGAACCCTTTTAATGACACCATCTATTCCACAGAGTATAAATTGGGGAACAGAGAACTGCATATTTATAAGTCCTTAAAACTTTTCCTCAAAGAAAGAGAATGAGGCTGCCACCTTGAGCTCTGTGTGTCAAGCCCAGTCAGGGACATGTGTTGGACATGGGCATGTACCGCCTCCCTTCTTTCAAGTTCCAGTTGCTGTGGTCTCCTTCTGTCAAGTTACATCATTTCCTTGTGGCAGGAACCAGAGTGCTAGTTCTCGCCTTCACCCACCCTGCCCCCTCTCTCTTAAGATGACACATTGGGACAAGCCAGGAACTTGCCACTGGTTTTATCATAGACTTCTAGCTTAAGACCACTCTAACTACACTAATTTTGATGAATTTGTAGCTAGGTCAGGGTTAGCCATTATCTCCTCTTCCTGGCCTCTGTTCCACTCACGGTATCATCATGTAAGAAGCCCGACATAGTACTTTTGTAGCACAGTCATTTAAATTTTTATTACAATAAAGTTTAAAAAAGCTATCAACAGGCAATAAATCTTGAGTTATTTCTAATTTGATTAGTTTTCATTTACCTAAGAATCCCAAAATCCTGAAGTACAAAAAGAACAGGAAATTATAAAAATAATTTTAAAATAAACTTAAGCAGTGTTGCATTTGTAAGATATTCTAATGAATATTAAATGTTATTTTTGTTGTTTTATTTAAGAGACAGACTCTCACTGTGTAGCTCATGCTGACCTTGAATTTGTAATCCTCCTACTACAACCTCAAGTGCTGAAGTCACAGGTGTACACTACTAGGGCTGGCTTGCATTTATTTATAATATTCCTGGAATCATATCTAATACTGTCTTTGGATAAGTACAATTTATAATTGTAATCCATAGATCTTAAATCTTGTGCTCTCTTCCCCTAAAGCTCCTATACATGTTCCTTTACAATAACACAATTTACCTGTAATCCTTAAATCTATAAAATGTTGGAATATTGTCACATTGAATTATAGCTCTGAAGCTATTTTTAGTTTATCTAGCAATTTTACAAGAGGTATTGGCATTATGTCTTCGGATCATATTCTTATGGGTGGAACTATAAAGGAGAAGTAGAATTTTCTAGCTCTTGTGTGGTAGAGATTTGCTAACTTACTGCCTTCTAACTTTTAGGTTCAGGAGCTCCATGAGGAGGAGGCACAGTGGGTGAACTATGATGAGGACGAGTTGTGTGTGAAGATGCAGCTGGCTGATGGGATCTTTGAGACCTTGATCAAAGATACTATTGATATTCTCAATCAGATCAGTGAAAAGCAGGGGAGAATGCCACTTGTGTGACATCTTGCAAATAAATTGAACACTGAGTGCTAATATGAGTCCTGGGCCTTTCTGCCTCCTGATATACACCCCATCTCCACCATAGCAAGAATGCTTCTGGACTTGTACCTGTTCTTACGGACTGCGGGTTTGGAGTTCATGGGACAATGTGGTATATCTGGTATTACAGCCTTTGCCTTTACAGACTGTTCACTAGATTACATGGTTCGTTCCAGTGGGCAGGGTTATACTTCTGGTGTTGAGAATTGATGTAAAACTACACTTCATTAGCACCCTACCAGGTCTCCCATGAGGGCTGAGAGCATCAGATTTAACCTCTGAGCTTAGACAAGGGTATCACTTCCTTCACTTTCTTGAGTCTTGTCAGGAAAGAGAGGTATATAAATTCATCATTTGACTTTTGAAATGTTATTCTAGTCCATACCATGAAAATCATAAATGGATATTATAACATCTGAACAGTATTAAACCTATAACCACTTCTAAAATAGGCATATTCAAGATGTCTGCCTATTTCACATTCTGGAGTTTCTTTCCTCTTAAGGAATAGTTTCTTCCATTCTTGCAGTTGGGCGTCATTAAGTGGACTGTCAAGTTAGCAGAAATAGTGGTAGCCTTGCTTCTGAGCGTCACCTAAAAAATCTGTTGCATTGAGTTTCCTGTCTGGACTGAAAACAGATGCCCACTGAAGATGAGGCTCCAGGACTGCTGCAGGCCGGTTCTTCCACCCATGTCTCACTCCTCCTCCTTTCTCCCTCGTCCTGAGCCTCTGCCAGCTGCTTCCAAAATCACAGATACTCAGGACCATCTCAGGCATCCAGGCATGGCAAAAGTGGAAATAATTCATTTTGGCCTTTCAACCTTTAGTTCCCATATCTCCCCAAGGAAGTCAGATGCTATTACTTGAATGATTTAGGAAATGAGTGTGTGCACCAAAGACAAAAAGATACTGTCTATAGTTTGTGTGCTTGTTTTGCTCTGTGGAACATTTTTTAATTTATTTTAAGATAAATTATTAAGCTGAAGATAGATGTCCTGTTGAGAAGTGAAAAATTCTTGTAAAAGTAAACTCCGTCTCGAAGTTTCTACGGTTTAGTCTTTGCACAGGAAAGCTGCAGTTTTAACAAACCCATACACACACTGAGGAAGTCAGTTCAGTTCACCAAGAAGAAGACAAGCGTTTCAACATCACGTGCAGTAGCAGGAGTGGGAGAAAATTATTTGAAAGACAGTATAAAATTTAATCCTGCCTTTCTTGCAGCATTGCTTCTTACAACTATTACCTATATCTGAAAAAATATCTAGACTCCAGCTGGTACATTAGAGCACACAGTGCTCTCCTGGGCCCTTACCTGCCTTGTTTCTCTTCATCAGTCCTGTCTCTCTTCAAGTAATCTAAAAGAATGTGGATAATCTTGGGCGTGAATGTAAATGCCTTAATCTTGACGGTCCTGACTAGAAGAAGTGCGGTATAGACATCCACTGGATTCACAGTTACAGATATCCTGGAACATTACAGCTTCCAAACATGTTAAACCCCAAAGATGGAGTAAACATTAAGTGTGCACATTTGTTCATTTCTGTATCTTTCTTCCAAACTTGCCTTTGCATCTTAGGTGTTTCACTATGCACACTTCATTCTTCAGTTCATCCTGTCATTATAAGGAATTAGCTGAACTAAACATTGGAATATTTGCATTTTGCACAGTGACTGGTGTGATAGCTCTTGACAATAAGGAAAGCACTGAAATGTTGCTATTGGGTCTCAAGAAATGCTCAGGTGGGCGTCTTACCAGCATCTCTTCTGGGCTTTTGCTGTTGAGCTATAGTCTTTAGCCATAATGCGCAAGTTGACTAAGAGAAGCAAAGGTTTTGGGAGATGGGGGGGTTATTAACCAGTAGTGTGGAAATACTGTTTTCATGTAACTAATGAAAGCAAAAACATTTCTTTCAGTTCATGTTATTTGAAAGACAGAAAACATCTTGTCTGCATCCCTTGGCTGTTTGTAGGATCACATTGTCTTTATGATACTGAAACTTTACAGCTGCTATAAATTTTTTATAAATATCAAAATATTATAATAGGAATATAGGATGTTTTCCATGTCTTCATTATTTGGACCTAAAGTCAGCTTTTAATAAGCTTATCTTTACAACATTGTAATTCCAGAAAAGGAAAAACATACTGATACAAGTCCACAGGCTTAGCAGTCTGGACACTGCCAAGAATGTGGCAGTGTCTGTCCCAACTGCCTCGAGCTGTCTTGGCTATCCCAGTATTCTAGGTTCCAGATGAGAGGCAGGAATGCCAGTCATATCCTTTGCTGGCAATTATTACCTATAGTTGAGAAGTAAAAAGCAAAAGAAACTAGAGTTAATGGATTTCTTATTATTTTAACTATTTGGATCTGAGATGGGTTTATTTTTAGGATTGAGAATGGTAAATGTGGATACCCAGCCACTCATTCCATATTGGGGTCTTTTTAACCAAGCTCTGCCTCATAATCAAGAACCTAAATATTCCCTCTTTCTAATCTTTGCTCCCTCCCACACCCTGTCCTCTTTCAGTCTTTCTTTATAATTTCTCTAGTAAAAAGATCTTTGCATCAGCAGTAATATCTTTTAGAATAGCACTATCAGAATTTAGTATAAAAACAACATGTAGGCTTCAGATTTACTTCTGAGTCCAAAAAAATTTGTGCTATCCAGGGCAGTTAACTCTGGGTTAAATACAGGGTATCGATTCCCTTTCAGGTCTAAACAGGAATTTTTATTCTAGGGAAAAGTGGGAAGAGCTCAAATGTAGTTAATAAGGAAGGTAATTTGTTTTTCTTTTAGCTAAAAGAAAAGAAATTCCTTCTGTGACCACAGGTCTCTGAGAAATTACCTTTCAAAAGAGATTTCATTGCTCATAAGAGTGTTGTGGCCTATTAATAAAACAGTTTTGTTCACTTTCTTGTCTTGAAAAAAAAGTGGCCTTAGCTTTTTGCAATACTTGAATAAAGTGTGTACTCGCAAAAGAATTTCTGTAGCACAGCATTAGAGACTCATAACTTTTCTGCAAGAAATTCAAACTTACATCTTCCTTTTACTACCTTAAGAATACTCGTGAATAAAACATTAATTCAAAGAGCAAGTGATAGAAACTACAATGATGTTCAATGCAAATTGTAGGAATTTACATGTTTACAAATCATCTTAAACTGGTTGTGCAGCAATTCAATAAAAATCTTTGTATTATAAAAATGTGAAGAAAATGTAAACTGATATAAAGGAGGTACTGTCATTTTAATTAACCTATGTTTAAAAGCTTTTCCTTCTGGACTTTGCAAAGCCTTCTTGGTAAACACATTGCAAAGCATTCTGTAGGGGGTTCAGCCTCCACATGTGTACTGTACTGTGCAGACATGAAAAACCCGTTTACTGTGTGTGTGTAAATAGCCTGGTCATCAGGCTGTCTTCAGCCAATAGTCACACCCAGTGCAGCTCTGCACAGAAGACTAGGGGTGTGGTTTGTAAGTATGCTCTGTAAAATAACTGGGATCAAGTCCCATGTACACCTGTGTAAATAGATTTCTTTAACAAAAAATGTACTTTAAGAAAAGATAAAATCTGTAAATAAATTGATTTATAAATTAATTTCATGTCAGGTGTTTATTTTTCCACTCATGAGCCAAGTTCAGAAAAGGAGTGTTATAAAATTGAATTCTTTCTGATTTGGTTTCACGACACAAATTCTTAGCATAAGACGAGCTAAGCAGCCCATAAGATGAATCTAAGCAGCCCATGCTCTGGCAGTTCGTTAATTCTACAGACAGTCGCTGAGCACTACCTGTGTTCTTAGTCTTGTGTTTAGTGCTAGGGAGACAGCAGAGGAGAGAGGCCCATGATTCTCTCTCCACCTTATGACTTAAAGTCTAATAAAAATCTACATGTAAGACTAACAAGTGCTGCATAGAAGCCATGCTCCCAGGAGCATGGGTTAAATCACTGGGTTTGGGTTGGCAAAGAATTCCTGTTAAATCTTAGCTGGATATGTTTTTTGACATGAGGGTTCACTATGTAGCCCAGGCTGGCCTCAAACTCAGGACACATTCAACCCTCCTACCTCAGCTTCCTTTGTAGCTAGGATTCAAGCGTATGCCACCCTACTGGTTTATATTTTTTTGAGCATTGATGGGCTTGCTCTAATTCATGGTAAATACCATTTCTCCCAGATGATGAGTTTTTTGTTCAACCTTGCAAAATATCACAAAATCACACATTAAGTGTGCCACAAAAATAATTGTGTGTAGAGGGTGTAATTTATTTCTGGAAATGGAGCTGGATGTTTGCAAGATTGAATTCCACACAGAGTTATGTGACACTCTGGATAATGAGTCAACTCTGTCCAATGGGTAGAAGTAGCCTCCATCCTCACACCCAAATCCTACATCTTCCTGATGGCCAGGTCTGCTATACCTTTAGCTCCTTGCCACATTGAGGAATTCTCAGAAAACCATTGACCCCAAATGGCAGCAAATTCAGACATTATTCATAAAAAAGACACCTGCATGCCTGCCATGTGTCAGACAGTGGGATGGTACTAAGGACATGCTTGTGAAAAAGAAAAAGACTGAGTTTCTGTAACCTTGAATCAAAACTTGTGGAAAGGGTAGATGGGAGGTTGGCAACCTACAGTAGAACCAAGAATGGTGAGATGTGGTAGAGACTTCTGTGTTGAGAGTCTCCAGACACAAACCTCCAGAGACAGCTCAGAAGTTGGGTGCTGGCTGCTCAGAAAAGGGGCAAAACATGGAGACTGTCCCAGAAGGCCTGGCTGTGTGACCAAGAATAGCGAGTGGATAAGTGCCGGACAGTACATGGTTCAAGGTCACCCAAAGCGAACACACAGCAGGCTTAAATGATACTGGTTTACTTACAACCAAAGGAGCAATGGACCCTAGATCCAGCCCCTTGCAATGCCTCAATCCCTTAAATCAGAACGTTATCATTGAGTCTGAAGCAGGGAAAGTCCCTCACGAAGCAAAAACCAGCAGACTGTAGAAGGAAGGGAGCCTTCAGGATCAGGGCCTGTGCTCATGAGTCCCCACAGGTGCAGGGAACTGCATATGACTGCTGTCTAGCCCTCCCCACCCCACCCCCACCCGCACTGAAATAACCAATAGCACATCACATCCAGGAGGACAGTCATCGACTCCAAATGTGGAGGTGCAGCCTGGTCTGATGGGGCCTGCACAGACTGTATGGATGCAGCTTGGGGGTAGGTGTCTTCTAGCTCTATTCAGTTGTTGCTATGTGCCCAGCAACAGGTGTCAGCATAATCCAAATACCACCCTGTTCTGCCAGCAGATAATTGAGGGTGGTTCAGTTATCCCTCACCACTTTGACTAATGAGTTTATCAAGAGCTGCTTGTCTTAGGAAATGCCAAGGCTTTGAGTAGAGACAGGGCGCTTACAATGGAGTATAGGGTGGGAGGGAGTTTCTCTGGAATGACAAATCCTCTAGCTGCAGCTGTGCTAGTTCTTACCAGGGTGTTGTCAACAGAGACTTCTGTGGAAGTGAGTAGATGATAGGTGAATGCTCCTACCTACTCCTCCAAGAACCTCTCAGGCTGGAGACGCTCTTATCTGCTACTTCCTTGGGGATACCCTCCCCAGCCCCAGCCCCACCCCCACCCCTGCTTCCCATCTCCCTATCTCCCCAACCTCCATCCCCATGCTTGACTCAAACCTTTTCATCCCAATCAGGCAACCTGAGGAAGAAAAATCACATCTTGACTGAACTTGAAATATCCCATGATCTCACCTATTTGCGCTGAGGAGTTAAGGATCCTCGATGTGACCAGGGTAGCCTTAGTGTCCGGTGTTCTGTCCACCTTTCGAGTCCCATGAGATACCTCAAAAAGAAGTCGTTGAAGATGAGGTTGCTGCAGGTATGAGGTGAGAGGGCCTACCACTGGCACAGCTTCAGCCCACATCACAGCTGCCTGGGGAATGTGTTCCAACAGGAGAAAAGGATTCCACAGGACAGCCTAATTGGTGCCACGTGCTCTTCATGCTCTCCATGCCCTCCAAGTTTAGGGTTGTCCAACGTGTTGCAGTCTCATTTTTGTTCCCTAGAGTATGGTATTTCATGTTTGGATGGCTTTGTTGGACAGGGTTTTTAGTATACTTGCTATTTGATCCTTCATTTTATCGCCCTGCTTATCTGGGAGTAACAGTGAAAGATCCGTTTTATGTAATGGGAACCTGTCAGTTGTGGTATTGCCTGGGTATATGTGGTATCTTACTCAGATGGGAATCTTTCCTGACATCTGAACATATGACTGAAGGTGTTTTTTAAACCACGATGGTACCTCTGTGTCCGCATAGCAATGGAATGTGGTTTTACATTTGTAATCTGTGTCCATGTAGGAGACACCTTTGCAACCTGTGGCTTCAGACCAGCCATGCCATGTGGTTGTTATAGGAAGGTGGTGGCTAAATCCCCCTTGACACAGCCCAAGTTTCCATTTTGTATGGCCAGGGCATGCTGGTAGGAATCACACAACTATGTTGTTATCTAGGACTTTACTTTTTTTTTTTACTCTGGCCTAGAACTCAGAAATCTGACTGCCTTTGCAAGTGCTAGGATTAAAGCCGAGTGCCACCATGCCTGGCTAATTCCATTTTTTAAATTTTATTATGATTGTATGTATGTGTGAGTGTATGATGGGGGGTACACATGTCACAATGTGTATGTGGGGGTCAGAGGACAATTTTGTGGGGTCAGTTCTCCTTCCACCTTACATAGGTTCCAGGGATGGAACTCAGTCTCCAAGCTTCAACAGCAAGCACTTTGACCTGCTGAGCCATCTCACCACCCCTCTCCTTTCTAATGGTTCTTTGTTATAGGCATTAATAAGAGTGTTTGTTTGGGGTTTTGTCCTAGGTTGTTTCTCCATTGTTGTGACAAAACACTCTGACCAATACCAACTTGGGGAGGAAAGGGTTTATTTAGTTTACATATCCCTGGTCACAGTTCATCAGGGAGCCCAAGGTAGGAACTCAGGGCAGGAACCTGGAGGCAGAAGCTGGAGCACAGGCCATGGAGGAATGCTGCTTACTGGCTTGCTCCCCAGGCCCCTGCTCAGCCTGCTTTCTTATGCAACACAGGCCCACCTGCCCAGGGGTGGCACCATCCACAGTGGGCTGGGCCCTCCCACATCACAAAACAATCAAGAAGATGCCTCACAGACATGGCCGCAGGCCAGTTCAATGGAGGCAATTCCCCAATTGAGGCTCCCTCAACCCAGGTGTGTCAAGTTGACACTAAAGCTATCCAGCATAGGTTATTTTTGTTGTTGTTGTTGGTGGTGGTGGTGGTGGTGGTTTTTTGTTGTTGTTGTTTTTTATTTGCTTACTTGTTTGTTTGGTTGGTTTGGTTTGGTTTGGTTTGGTTTTTAATCCATGAGCTGTTGTCACAGACCTTATTTCCACAAAGGGGAGCCTTTAGTGGTTCAATCATTAATTTGGATCATATAGCTAACCCACTAGAACAGCCCATGCTAGCTATGTAGCAGAGGCTACTGTGGGAAAGGCCTACACACCATCATTCCATGTGGAGTTTGGCCAGTGGGCAGAATGTTCTCATCCAGTCTCATTTGAAAAGTAGCAATCCTGATAGACACTACCAACTTTGACTTTCAAGGATCTGTGTGGGGACCAAGCCATACCATCTGCTAGAACATCTTCAGACTGTGGGCCCTACCTGGTTACTGGAAGGATAGGAACCCTCATGTGCCATTTACCCTCCTACAGCCAAGCAGCTACTTTTTATGGAGGCAGCTGACTACTGGAGCCCTGGGTGGGCCCTACATTGGATTTATCATATCTATTTAATGATGGAGCTTTGTTGAGCCTGTGGTATTTGATTAGTGGAATTAGTGAGGCCCCACAAAAAGATGGGCAGCTTAGTCCTTAAGTGACATAGTGTTTTCTCTATTAGACCCTCTATTTTCAGGAGCCCCAAACAGCAGGCTAGGAATTGCCACCTAAATATGGTATTTCTGGAGGCTGCCTGCAGTAATTTATGTGTCTAGTGCTGGAGGAGCCAGTACAACGTGGTAACAGTCACTTGTTACAGGTTCCAGTCTGCAAGGCCAGGAGTCACCCATACTTGTAGTTTCTTAGAGTTGATGAGCAGCAGGACCCAGTGGCAAGGCTTGTCAATGTATATTGCATAGCCTCAAGGGTCTGCTGTAGTTGAGGCCACTTTCAAAGGTGGACATCTCAAGGGAAAACATCACCAAAGGAGCCAAAAGAATCCCAGAGATGTACTCCAGTAGCCAGAAAGACATTCCACTTGTTGAGCCCTTTCTTGTTTGTTGGAGCAGTCGTGTTAAATAAGACTTTGTTTAATCTAGATAGGAATTTTTAATTGAATTTTTGCAATTTCCATACATATAATTTGATGGTATTTAGACCCCTTTCCCTATCCTCACCACCACTTATTGCCCTCCAAGCAATTTAATATACTCTATTATACACACACACACACACACACACACACACACACACACACACACACATATAGAGGGAGAGAGAGAGAGGCTATAGTCTAATTTGTGTCCCCAAATGTCCTTTAGTGTGGGTCT